GTGTTGTGGGTCAGGAATTGGGCAGGCCTTGACTGAAAGATTCTTCTTCACGTCTACTGGGGTCATTTGATGGCTGAGCTGGAGGGACAAAAATGGTGCCATTCACATGCCTGGCCCTATGGTGAGCTCTTTGAACCATAAGGCCCAGCTGGGTCCCTCTCATCCATTAGTCTAAGGATCTCTCAGGTGGTCTCCAAAGGCAGGCAGAATTCTGCCATGGTGACTCGGAAGCCAGCAGAAGTTTCTGGTCCTTTAATCATCAGAAACGACAGTGGTGGGAGGCAAAGAAAACTCTGATGTGGGAGGTTCTTTGGACTTCATTGGGTCTTATGAAAGGTAGGCATTTCACCTACCGACTGAGTAATGACAGGAAGAGAAAACACCTGTACAGAAATGAATATATGTTCATGTATTTCAAAGGAGAAGGAGGATAAGAGACAAGGGAAAGGCAATTTGGAAGACAAAAATGATAAGAAAAGAAATTTTGAAGAAAGAAGACAGGGTAAGTGTGTGCAATCTCACTTTCCACATTTGTTTACAAGTTCTGATGACCTGTATGAGACATAGATTCTTCTAGATCCTATGAAAGGGAACATATTTTTGTCCAATAGCTAAGGGCCTCATGCTTTGGTTTGATCTAAAACAGATTAAAAGGATTTTCTCTTTTCACCTTTGATGAGTGTCAGAGAGTCATCAGTAGCTGCAAAAATAAAAGCTGAGAATTCTTCTAGCATCAGGGGACATGATAGAAGATGTCCATGCTGAGCCACATCTTCTCCACCAGCACTGCCTTTGGGGTCTACTACCTGAGCCAGGTCATCAACACTCATGGTCACAGCAAACATGAAAAATGTCCATTGAGTACTCTGGGGTGTCAAGAAAACCCACACTGTGGACGGTCCAGAAAAATCTTCCCAAAACATCATATTGAACACAGAAAGTGCTTGAGGGAAAGAAATGCATACTAGCTCCTATCGCCCAACTCTGATACACTCCTATTTTAAGGTATCTGTAGTGTAGCTCTGAATTCCTTATGGAGTGTGAGACAATGGAGAAAGAAGCACAAACTTGGCTGGATTCAGAAGTCCTGGGTTCATGTGACAGTGCGATTTCTACTTACCCTCTCCCATCCTTCGGTCCTTATCCTCAGTTAAGGAGGTTTGTCTACAAGGTCTCCAAGAAACTTCCCAGTCTAATATCCAATCCAAACTCTTTGCTTTTCTCCATCTTCACAAGGTCCTTTCCCAGTTATCACCACCTCCATGCTGCCATATTGAATGTTGTCGGCACTTTCCTTCTTCACTCCATTCTTCAGACACAGAAATGAATCTCTCCCCTCTCTCCTTGCCCAAACCCTTTTCCTTCTTCCAGGACTTAAAGGCTTTATCGTACCCCAGCTTCATTTTACCAAAGTAACGCACAACTTGGGACACTTCTTATATTGTGACCTCCTATCAATAGAGAAATCACCAATGTCACAAACTGCTTGAAGGCTTTGTAAACAGGAGACCTGGGTTTCCAAACCAGCTCTAGTAAGTGCTTGCTGTTTACCCTTGGATACATCATTGAAATCCTATAGGTCTCAATAGCTTCTTACGCAAAGTGAAAATATGGTTTATTCTTTCCATGTAGTGGGATGAAGACAGCCTGGTGTCTCTTCACAGAAGTGCTGTTCATTGAGTAACTACTTTATGCCAGGTAGCATTCTTGGGATACAGAATAGCATTTACTGAACTAACATTAGCTAATATTTTTTGATTACTAAGTGTTCTTCCTCCACTCTCATAATTATTTCCCCAAATAACCCTATTAAGTAGATGTTATATTTAACCATTTATTTATCTATGTTTTGCAGATGGGAAAACGAATTTTAGAGAAGTTATTTCATTCAAAGTCATGAGAGATTAGGAAACAATGTGATGTTAAATCTCAGAAAGTTAGTTTCTATACACATCATCAAATGTAAGTTTTGGAGGGTTATTTGTCTTCTGGATCCAGAACCTGAAGGCTGCTGGTCACCATATGTTTGCTGGCTGATGGACTTGATCAGCTTTTATAGCCTCACCTTAGTATATGACTCTGTAAACCCTCTCCTTTGAAATCTGATGTGAAGACCTTGGGACCTGAGTTTTTCTCACCCTTTGATGGCTAAGGAAAGCATACTATCAAACATCGTCAGCCAGAATTCACATTTGCAATAATTGTGAAATAAAGATTTCACTGTTCTCAGGACAAGGTGCTGGGAGTACTCTTGATCTGTCTATAGACTGGGTTGTCCAATAATATAATGACCGGCAGAACCAATGCATCAAAGTCTCCAGGATGCATGGTACTGGAAGGCGAGACAAGACCTCACCCCCTGGAAGTGATCCATATGAGATTCAGCTACTCCTCTGGGTTAGGAGGATGCAGAGTTTCTAATAGGAGGAAGGAGAATTAGCCCCATAGGTGCACAAGTTGGTTGGATACAAGGGCAGACATAATGGGCCATTGGAAATGGATGCTGTGTTTAAATTGCAACGCTTGTATATATGGCTATGCTTTGGGGAATACTGCAGCACAGATGGACAGAGGAGAAGAAAGAATAGAAAGCCTCCCTCGTTTTCTAAAGTTATGTAGATGTTCCTCTGATCTAGCAGCCCCACCCCTGTCCACCTGTCCTCTCTACTTCTGGGTGTCTATATGTACCATTCTTACATCAAAATGATAAGGATCCTGATCACCCCCATGGGAACGTAGGGCTCCCCTAAGAGGGCTCAGCAAGTCGGATGGATACTCTGACTCCTAGCACCAGAAATGAGGAGTCATTTCCATTCCAAAAAAGCACTAACACATGGAAGACTGAGTTTTACAAATTTAAGTGGGAAAGAATTTTTTACGACATAAAAATCCAAAGTTTCTGCACAGCAAAAAAGAGAAAAAGTGAAAATGACAAGCTCACATTTGTCAAAAATGACAAATCAGAAACAATTTCCAGTACTTATACCACACAGCTAATTCTTGAATTTACAAGGCTATCCTACAAATCAACACAAATAAATAGGCCAATAATTCCATTTCCCAATACAGGCAAAGAAGAAAGGACATTCCAGAGAAAATAAAGACAAATACTTCCAAGACATGAAAACACGTGGACCCTGATTCCCGAGAGAAACGCAAACCAAGAAGACACTGAGATCTCAATTCTTACCTATCAGATTGGGAAAGACCAGAAAGGCTCACTGTCTGTGGATCAGCTTGCTTTCAACCACAAACACCAGGAAACCCAATAAACAGGGGTTTTACAAAGAAAAAAGCTTGTTTTCCCCAAGTCACAAAAATCTGTATGTGGGCAGTCCGGGAGGGGAGAAGGTGGTTCAACTATGACCTCAAGGACCCAGCACCTCCTGTGCACCTGCTCCAGCATCCACATCAAGTAAGTGTCCTCTTTGGGGTCAAGACACACCTGCTGCAAGTCCAAGTGCTACTGTCATCCAAGCAGAGAGAAGGGGGAAGTATGAAACAGTTGCATAACATGGAGGTTAAGCAATAAGAAACATTTATATCATTATTTAAAAAGGGTTCCATTCATAGGGATAACATTTCATTGGTCACAAATCTGTAATTGGCCAATCTGGGCTGCAAGAGAGACTAGGACATCACTTATTTTTAGCGAGCACATTGCTGCCTAGATCCTAGGCAGGAAGAAAGGATGATGGAAATTGGCTAATCCCAGGGCATCTACAACACACTCCATTGTGAGAGGGGACCATTCAGGCTGGTGAATTACTCTGAGTGCTGTTGGGACAACCTCCATGGAGGATAGAGTAACTGTAAATGTATAAGACATGGTCTTTAATACGGCAATTCTACTTCTAGAAATTTATCTAAAATATATAGCTACTTGTGAGCAAGATAATGTACATAAAAAGATACTCAATGCAGTGTTGCTTGTAACTGCAAAAGTTTAGAAATAATCAAATTTCATCAATAAGAAAAGAGTTTAACAATGGCATATAAAAAGAATGAGATAGTATAAAGCTATTAATAATCATGATAGAGTTCTGTATGTGTTCATATAAAAGTGTTCAAGCTAAAGCATTAGCTGGGTAAAGCAAACTATAGAATAATGTCTTAACAGTGGGGGTTTCCTGGAGAAAGGCTGAGGGCTGGGACAGGGAGAGGAGTGACAGTGTTTGTCACTCATTACTCCTCTACCTTTTAATTTTGTTTCTTGTGCAGGAATTAAAATATTTTAAATGAAAAAGTTGAAATATTTCAGGAAGGTGCTATAGGGGACATCAGTGTTTTTGATATTTCTCAAAATTGAGAGGTGTAACTGGTGTGCATTCTATGTGATGTGTTTAGATCACACTGACTTCTTGAAATAAATCTGACCTTTGGCTCTAGTCTGACCAACACTTCCCCTGGAATCCCACTGAGGTCATTTCCCCTGAGCCTGCTAAGTCATTGTCCTCACCACATCCAGGAGCCTACTCACCCTGGAAACTCAAAACACAACTTCTTAAGGGAGTAACGCCCGTATATCCTGTAATCCATTAATCCTCTAATCCACTGGGTTCCATGACTGGTCCCAGGGTCTAGACCTCCAGAGATGAGCAGGATCCATCTTTAGAAAAGAAGAGGCATTTGTTCCCTGAACTTCTTAAATGAGAGCATTGTTTCTAGTCTTTTCTGAGCCCTAAAAGGTAAATAATCAAGCAGATGGAAAACAGAAAATAGATCAGGCTTGAAATCATCATCATAAACTTTAAACAAGAGAAAACACTAAACCCAGCCTTTTGTTTGACGAAAGCTATCTAAACAGAGGAACATCAGAGAGACTTGAGGGCACAGCGGCCTGGGCCCCATCCCCAGGCAAATGCCCCCCTTCTCTCACTGCGCTGTGTGTCTCTGAGCCTCCTCCTCTAAGACCTATAAATACAGGTGGCTTTGTGCTCCCCACTCATTCAGACTCCTGCTCTCCCATTCAGACCCTGACCTCCAGGTGACTCACAGCCATGAGGACCCTCACCCTCCTCACTGCACTTCTCCTCTTGGCCCTCCAGGTCCAGACTCAGAGTCTTGAAGAGACAGCCGACCAGGTTCCTGCCCAGGACCAGCCTGGGGCCGAGGCCCAGGACATAACCATCTCCTTTGCAGGGGATGAACGCTCTGCTCGAGAGGCTTCAAAATGTGAGACATCAGACAGCTTACTATGGGGGTCTGCAGTCCCAATGTACCACAAACTAGCCAGGAAATCATTAGAACTTGGAGATTTTTGGATTGAGAGGCTCTTCAAGGGCTCTTTGAGCACCAAAGGGTTTGAGTCCAACTTGGGCATGTGCAACACAACAGCCTCATCAGCAGAGACTAAAAGGCTGTTACAAGGGCCTCAGTATGTGGAGGCCAGGCTCAAACTGGGTGTGTGGAGGAGGTGGGGTGAGGAGTAGGTAACCCTGAGTTGAGAGGTGGGTGGTTGTGGAGGACACGAAATAAGCACGAACATAATAGACTAGGATCAGAAAAAAACTGTGATCCTCTGTTACCAACAAAGCCAGTAAGACTCCATGTGAATTATTATCAAAAAGGTGAATTCTTTCCACATGAACATGACTGGTATTATCTATTGTAAGTACACACATCGCCTCTTAGTATATCTCCACGAGGCTGGCTCTACCTTATCTCCCTTCTTCCTTCCCCTTTGCTGATCCTCCTCTTCCTTCTGTAGCCCTTATAGGAACAGCCTCCTGCACCTGCAGACGTGCCTGGATCTGCAGATGGGGTGAGCGCCACTCTGGGAAGTGTATAGACCAAAAAGGCTCCACATACAGGCTCTGCTGTCGTCGCTGAGCTTGTGGATTGAGACTCAGAGCAATGCGTGACTCCGCTTGATAACCTGGAAAGGGGTTTACTCTTTGTACCTTCTACCTTTTCATATTTCTTTCTCCAAAATAAACTTTAAGCATTAAACTTAGTGTGTTTGGCATTTTTCTTCTCCTTTCCTTTGCCTTTTCATATGGCATATTTCTATGATTCACTTGTGTAGAGAATTCTGTCCAAAATGGTCTTCCTTAAGTTTACTGCTCTTTCCATCACACTACTGCACAACTGGAACAGGATATTGCAATAACAAAAACAGCAAAAGTGAAAATAATGATTCATTACGACAAGTTTATATCTATAAATTTGATCCATTCATAATGATACTCAAAAGTGGGAAGTGACATTGAAGAGTGCCAGAAGGTGTTGTCACTCACGGAAAAGTGGATCCAATAGGTTTTATTTACTTGTTTCTTAAATTTAAGAGGTGAACAGGCATTGATATCTATGAATATTTTCCTTATTTTAACCAAGTATGTTATGTATAGATATATTTTTTCCTAACCATATCAAAAACAGAGAGTGAAAAAGTGCTTCATGAGCTGCAAATCAGTAAAAAGTAATAATGCTACTATAACCAGAAAATATTAACCAACATCAGTGGTCTCAACTAAAGCCCACATAGAAATGGAGTCCAGAGTCTGGTCCGTCGAGGTGGTCATGTCCAGTGACCAGTGAGATACTGGTCCTGCTTTGGACATCAAAAGTTCTATAGGCCAAAGTCCAATGAGGGAATTGGTCTCAACTCTCCAACTCTTCAAAGATAATGAGTCTCCTAATTATAATAAGCCAATATTAATTTTAATAAAATTCTAGCAATAATTACTATGTTTACAGTAGTCTAATGAACTAAGTCAATACATCAGAATGACAAGACAATTTCTCATACACTTACTGTCATGCAAAAACTTAAAGAACACTTTATGTAGCAGAAAGGCAAGTCTCTAAACTCAAATTTTTTATAAAAGGCAGGATTTAAGAGTACCATGAAATGATAAAATAAAACATCTTTATTACACAACAAAGTCTCGGCCTGTTAAAACCAGAAGCTCAGGTATGAATCAATGTGGAGACAAGCAAGTGCCTTTCCATGGGAAGAGTCAGCTGTTTGACACCAGGATCTGCATCCTCATTGAGCCTCCTCTTGTGTCTGAGAAGATTACAAAAATCCTAGGTAGTAGAAATGTCAGACCAAAGGAGAAACAAGGTGAAATCCATGAGAACAGCGCTTTTCTAACAGTTTTGGTGGAATAGATGACCAAGTTTGTGATCCTTGCTCTTGCGTATGTTTATGCATTGTTGAAGGTGTTGGAAGTGTTGGAGAAGAATCAGGTATAATAAATGTATCAGCTCAATGTAGAATAGTTCAGATCATTTAAATGGTCACACTGGCATCAATATTTATACTCCAGAACAGGTTTTCAAATGCAGTGATCGAACATTAAACTCAATGCAGAGAAGAGTAAGATTTTTCTCTGTGCACAAAAGCCCTTCCTATAACAGAAAATTGACCAACCCACTGCAGGCTGGTCCTGCTTCTTCTTCCCTGATCTCTGAGATCAGAGCTCTCTTCCCACCAGGAGACAGCAGAAGCTGAGTTCACTCCTTGCTTCTCCAGAATAGGAACTCTTTCTGCTCTTGCTATCCTGATGTAGGCCTAGGTGGTACATCAGGTCACCTCCTCCAAAACTAGTAGACAAAAAGGAAGCAAAAGAAAACATGTGGCCTTAAGACAGAGGCCCCTCTTTCTACTGACAATGTCAGGCTGCCCTTTGAAGTTGGGTCCTTGGGTGAAGATACTCGTGCCTCACCGAGAGTTGTCAGGATGATGACACTGCCTTACTTTAAGTAAAATGAAGACAGATCTGGAACCAAGTAAAGTACCAATCAGCTCAAGCTGAACAAACAACCAAGGAGGAACCACTGCCTCACAGCACAGCTCACACTGGTGCACTGGGACCTTAAATCAATATATTGGCTATTTCTTCTTCCCACTCAAGGGCACCCTGAGAATGCCATCCATTCTCAGGAGTCCCCAGATCAGACAGACATCAAAGTATCGTGTGGAAAGAGCAAGAGGATTTCACATGCCTCACCCACTCCACTCTGCCTCTGAGCCAGGGAATGACAGACTGTGTGCTGAGAATGTCTACAAGTGATTGATATTTGATTGGCCCATCTCCTAAGAGACGTACATAAAGACAAGGATGGATCTGCCCCCAAGGTCATCCCAGCCTCCTCGGTGCTTTTGGAGGTCCTCATCTCCAGGCCCTCACAGCCATGATGATCCTTGCTGTCCTCACAGCTGTCCTGCTCTTGGTCCTCCAGACCCTGTTGCTGCCAATTACAGAGACAACTTATGAGGCTGCAGCCCAGGACGGACTTGGCAGACCATCAAGTTATTGCTGTCTCCTTGTGGAAGATAAAAGCTCAGCTCAAGAGGCTTCAGGTTAGAGATGTAAGCATCACTATTACAAGGAGGAACCAGGAGACTGTTCTGGTAACAAGATTGATACAACCAGTTATGACCCTCTTGGTTCCTTGTTTCTTTATCTGAAAACCAAAAGAGTTTGCCTTGATAGTCTATAAAGCATCTTCTTTTTCCATGGGCTTTGACTTCATGACATGTAGAAAAGTCCTTGAGAGCAGAGAGGAGCCATGGACAATATGAAATGGTCTAGCCTGGCTGTCCTCTAGCAGAACTTTACAGAAACGGTCAGAGCCTGCTTGGCCCATGGGCCGTAGTTTACTGACTCCTACACCAAAAATTAGTCTATTTCAGGAGATATCTGGATGCAGAGTAAAGGGCAAAATGGGCAAGTATATGCATGTGTATGGATGTGGTAGCAGCAAGAACAAGTGTCAGCATGGAGCTCAGATAGATAAGGCTGTGAGGGCTCGGGTCCTCGCTGGCAGGCATGGTCCATTTGAAACTCATGTGGTCTGATGAAATGAGCATTGCTGTGGCTCTAATCTGACCTATTGATGTGTCTACTCCAGCTCAAAATTGAACTTCTCCAATCCTCCCGGGGCCTGTGGTTGATGCTCTCTTTTCCTCAAGGCCAGGCAAGACTGTCCTGATATTGAGGAAGAAACCCGCCATCTCAAGAGCTCCGCTCCAGGGCCGGCACTGTCATCACAGTACTTGTCATCACAGGCACTGTTGTCCCTCAGTTTCTCCAACCAAGAAGCAAAAAGCCCAAGATCCAGATTGAAGGCCTGGAGACAACAGTCAGTATCTTCTGGGTCTGTCCCTCAGTTCTTTCCCTAATCCCAAATCTTCACAATAAGCCTCTATTCCTGCTTTTTGGATGTTTGATACATGTATCAGTTGGGACTAATGTAAATGCCAGCAACAGATTTCTGAGGAAAATTCTCTTCAACAAAATACTGGCTCTAAATACTTGGAGAATTCAAAGAGTGGTGCAGACCTCAGACATAGAGTGGTATAAGTGCACAAATGATACTGAAGTTCTACCTGTCTATCTATCCATCTATCAATTATTTGTCTGTCTATCTGGGTGTCTATGTATTTATCTCTCTATATATTCTCTGTCTGTCTATGTATCTGTTCTATATATCTATCTAACTAACCATCTTTCTTTCTGCTTTCATTAAATTCAACTTTACTTTCAAGAAGTCAATTCCTTGTATTAACACCATAATCACTGTTAGACCCTAATTCGGATGGTCCCAATACCTTCTTTCTCATGGAAAACCCACTATCTCCACCCCCACAGTGTGGGAGTGCTCCCCTGGAAGAGAACCCAATCACACACCTTACTCTAAGTCCTGGGGTTACATCTGACCCACTTGAAGCCTGTAACTAACATGAGGGTGATCTTGTCTCCGAAGATATGATAAGCAGAACAAAAATTGTATCACACTTACACAATGACATGTCCTGTTTTGTCATCTGGAAATATAGAGTAAGAAGTTAATTGAGCAAGATGTTGTCATAAATTAAAAGGAATTTGGCTGGGTACATGACCAACACATGCCCCAAACCCTCAAACAAAATCTGCCATTTTCATTCTCCTCAGTTTCTCTAAAGTTGCTGAAATTCTCTTAAAACCTCACAGCATCTAAAAACACACCTTCGGCCTCCAGTTTCCCCTCTGAGTCATTCTCCCTGTTCCCTAAGCAGGGGCTCTGTGCTTGCAGCAGCTTTGTTTCCTCAGATGGGGTCCCACCTGTGGGACATTGGGCATCCAAAAGCCTCTTTTCCTTTCTACTGCTCTGTCTCCTATAGTTCAGATCTGTATAATTTCTTTAACAACTTGACGAGTTTCCTGTGTATAAGTTATAATCCACTTTACTAGACAAAAGTCACCCCGTACTTCTTCAAAGACAGGCCCTTCCCTCCTGAGCTGAAGGTTAAGGTGCTGGAAAGCCATTAAGATTCATAGGAGCCATATGTCTAGATGAAAGGCATCTTCTCCACCAACGCATTAATTTTCCAAGGTTGCCACAAACATCCTTACAGCCACAGCTATGAGATCTACCCTGAGGTCATATCTGATGAGAATACTTTCATTTTGATCTTGCCCTGTGGCACTACTTTTTTATGAAATTTTGCCTCAAATGATTCAAGATGAGAAACAGCTTTATTTTCAAGCTTTTACTAACATCTCCATGAACCTCTCCCAGCTTCTACCATCAGGTCTTTGGATGAGGTTTCTGTCCATTGCTCAGTCCTTACAGTGATGCCACAGCTTTGAGGTTTTATTTCCAGTAGCGCCTCACTTCCAGGCACCAAAAAACAAGCCACACAAATTATCAACCTGAAATAACAGCCATTTCATTACATCTTACAATCTTCTGGGTCAGAAATTGGGCATGACTTGACTGGGAGAGTCTTCTGCATGTCTACTGGGGTCAATTGTTGGTCCGGCTGGAGGAGCAAAGATGGTATCAATCACATGCCCAGCCCAACGGCGGGCTGTTTGAACCATGAGGCTCAGCTGGGCCCCTCTCCTCCGTTAGTCTCAGGACCTCTCATGTGGTCTCCACAGGCAGGCAGGATTCTGCCACGGTGACTCAGAAGCCAGCAGATGTTTCTGTTCCTCTTAGTCATCAGGGAGGACAGTGATAGGAGGCAAAGAAAACCGTGATGTGAGGAGGTGTTTCAGATTGATTCGGCTTTAAATAAAGGAGATATTCCGCTTCCTGTGCTGAGTACAGACATGAATAGAAAACCTTGTCTGATATGAAAAAGAATAGAATATGCTTTAGTGATGAAAGAAACGAATGTGTTTTCATGTGTTCAAGTGGACAAGGGAGTGAGAGAGAAGGGGAAGTCTACTCGGAAGAGAAAATGATAAGGAAAAGAATTGTTCAGAAACATGACAGGATAATTGTGCAAAATAACACTTCCCACATTGGTTTAAAAGTTTTGGTGACCTGAGAGATATGTACGAGATATATACTCTTCTGGATCCTATGGAAGGGAAGATGTTTTTGTCCCATGGATAAGAGTTCCCTACGTTGTTTTAACCCACAACAAATGCAAATGATTTTCCTATTTGACTTTGGACAAACATCACAGAATCACCAATAGCTCCACAAAAACTGAGAATCCTGCTGGCTTAAGGGAAGTTAAAGGAGATGTCCCCACTGAGCCACATCTTCCCCATCAGCACTTTTCTGGGGTCTACTATGTGAGCCAGGTCATCATCACTCATTGTAACAGAGGACACGAAGAATATCCATCCAGCACTCTATGGCGTCATGAAAACCCACATTATGGATGCCACAGAAAAATCTTCCCAAAACATCATATTCATCACAGAGAGTCCATGTTGAAAGAAATACTTGCTGGCTCCTATCCTGCAACTCTGCTGCACTCCCATTTTAAGGTGCCGCTAGCATAGTTCTGAACTACTTACATATCGTGAGATAATGGAGGAAAGAGTATAAATTTGGCTGGATTCAGAAGTCCTGGGTTCATGTGACAGCTCGATTTCTACTTACCCTCCTCCATCCTTAGGTCCTTGTCCTCAAATAAAGAGGTTTGTCTACAAGGTCTCCAAGAAGCTTGTCAGTCTTATATCTAGTCCAAACTCATTGCATTTCTCCATCCTCACAAGCTCCTCTCTGAGTCATCACTGTCTCCATGCTGCCATGTTCAATATTGTTGGCACTTTGCTTCACTCCATTCTCCAGACTGGAAATTGTTCTCTTGCCTCTCTCCTTCTCCACACCCTGTTCCTTCTTCCAGGACTTGAAGCATTTACTGTACCATGGTGTCATTTTACCTAAGTAATGCACTAAGTCTAAACACTTCTTGTATTGTGACCTTTTTTCAATTAGAACTCACCAATGCCGCAAACTGCTTGAGGTCTTTGTAAACAGAAGAACCGGGTTTCCAAAGCAGCTCTAATAAGCGCTTGCTGTTTACTCTTTGATACGTCATTAAAATCCTATGTGTCTCAATATCTTCTTATGCAAAATGAGAGTACTAATATATTCTTTCCATGCATTGTGGAATGAAGATAGCCTTGTGTGACTTCACAGAAGTGCTATTTATTGAGTAACTACTCTATGCTGGGTAGTGTTCTCAGGATACTCAAAGTATTTACTGAACTAACTGTAGCTAATAGTTATTGATTACGAAGTACTCTTCATCCACTCTGATAATTCCCACAGTAACCTTATTAATTAGACATTATTTTTAACCTTTTTTTTGCAGATGGGAAAATGAACCTTAGAGAAGTTAAGTATTTTACTCAAAGATACAACAGATTAAGCAACAGTGTGATACCAAATCTCATAGACTTACTTTCTGTGCACTCTATCTTTCTGAATTCTAGAGTGCTGACTAATCTAAGTTGTTGGGGGTTATTTGTCTTCTGAGCCCAGAACCTGAAGGCTGCCGGTCATCAGATATCTGCTGGCTGATGATCTTGACCAGCTTTTATGGCCTTTCCTTAGCATATGTCTTCGTAAATCTTCTCATATGGTATTTGATGTGTGATCCCTGGGACCTCATTTTTTTTTTATACTCTTCCACTTGCAAAAGAGAAGCTATTGCCAGAAATCATCAGCCAGAATTCACAAGTAAAATCATTGTTTAGTAAAAAGATTTAATTGTTCTCACAACATGGTGTTGGAAGTATTGTCTACCTGTCCATAGATTGGGCTGTCTGACAGTATAATGACTAGCAAAATAAACCCATCAAAGTCTCCAATACATGGTAGTAGAAAGAGAAACAAGTCCGCATCTTCAAGTCAGTGATCCATTTTAAGATTCAGCACTTCCTGTGGGGTAGCATGATGCTGAGTCTCTTGGAGCGGGAAGTAGATATAGCCCCACGGGTGCACAAGTCACTTGGGAGCAAGATCAGAGATAAAGAGGCATTGGAAATGGATGCTGTGTTTACATTGCAGTGCTTGTCTGCTTTCACCCACAAACACCAGGACGCAACAAACAGTGGCTTTAGAAAGAAAAAAGTGCATGTTTTCCAAGTAACAACAATCTGAAAGTGGGCGGTGCAGGAGGGGATGAGGTGGGTCAACTATGTCCTCAAGTCCCCAGCATCACGTGCACCTGCTCCAGCACCCATTTGGAGGAACTGCCCTCTTCATGATCAAAACACAGCTTCTGCACTTCCAAGTGCTCTGGCCATCCAATCAGAGAGAGGGAGGAAACAAAAAACGATCCCACAATAACAGAGATGAAACAAGAAGAACAATTTATTTTACTATTTAAAAAGCTACCCTTTCTAAGGCTTAGACTTTGTTGGTAAGAATTCTCATCAGGGGCCACTCTGATCTGCAAGAGAGTCTGCAACATGGCTTATTTTTAGTGAGCACATAGCTGACAAGGTCCTAGGCAGGAAGAAAGGATGATGGAAACCGGCTAATCCTAGGGCTTCTAAAACACACTCCATTGTGGATGGGGAGCATCCGGGCTGGTGTATTTCTGTGAGTGCTCTTGGGACAACCTCCATGGAGAACAATGGAGTAACACCTGTAAGTGTATAAGACATGTGCTTCAACCCAGCTTCTCCTTCTAGAAATTTGTCTAAAAGCTGTAGTCACTTATCAGCAAGATGTTATACAAAAAGATACTCAATGCAGCATTCCTTGTAACTGCAAAAGTTTAGAAACGACCAAATTGTAGCAATTTTACAATTTTTTATCAACAAGAAAATAGTTTAATGATGGCATAAAAAAGTTAGTATATAAAATAAATTAAAAATAATGATGGTGTTCTGTATGTGCTGATATAAAAGTGTTCAAGCTAGAGCATTAGGGGAGCAAAGCAAACTACCAAATAATGTGTTAACACTGGGGGTTTCCTGGAGAAGGCTGAGGGCTGGAGCAGGGAGAGGAGAGATGGCATTTTTCGCTCATTACCCCCCTACCTTATGAATTATGTTTCTTGTGTAGGAATTAAAATATTGTCAACTAAAAACACTCAAAGATTTCAGCAGGGCAATGTGGGGATATCATATTTTTTTATATTTCTCAAGGTGGAGAAGTGTAACTGGTGTACATTCTATGTGATGTGCTTAGATCACACCTGCTCCTTGAAATAAATCTGTCCTTTGGTTTTAGCCTGACCAACATGTGACCTGAAATCCCACTGAGCCCATTTCCCCTGAGCCTGCTCGTCATTGTCTTCTCCACATCCAGGAGCCTACTCAACCCAGAACCCCAAAAGGCTCCTTCTTAGGACAGTGATGCCCCTGAATCCTGTAACCCATTAACCCTCCACTCCACTGGGATCCAGGTCTTGCCCCAGGGTCTAGACCTCCAGAGATGAGCAGGACCCATCTTGAGGAAAAAAGAGGCATTTCCTCACTGAACAACTGGAATGAGAGCACTGTTTCTTGTCTTTCGTGAACATTAAAAGGTAAACAATCAAGCATATGGGAAACAGGGAAGATAGCAGGCTCCTTATCATCATTATCAACTTGAAACAAGTGCACACACTAAACACACAGCCTCGTGCTTGATGAAAGCTGCTGAAACAGAGGAACATCAGAGAGGTTTGAGGGCACAGTGACCTGGGCCCCATCCCCAGGCAAATGCCCCCCTTATCTCATTGCACTGTTTGTCTCTCAGCCTCCTCCTCTCAGACCCATAAATACAGGTGACTCTGCACTCTCCACTCACTCAGGCTCCTGCTCTACCATCCAGACCCTGACCTCCAGGTGACCCACAGCCATGAGGACCCTCGCCCTCCTTGCTTCCCTTCTCCTCCTTGTCCTCCATGCCCAGGCTCAGAGCCTTGAAGAGAGAGCTGACCATGTTCCCGCCCAGGACCAGCCCGGGGCTGAGGTCCAGGACATGACCATCTCCTTTGCAGGGGACGAACCCTCTTCTCCATATGCTGCAGGTGAGAAACCAGCTGGCAGTATGTAGGGGTGTCTGCAGTCCCAGTGTACCACAAACTAGCCAGGACATCACTAGAAAATGAGGGCAGTGGTTTTCAAGACCTTTTGAGCCTAATAAGATTTGAGTCCTCAACATGGGCGTGTGCAACCCACTGGCTGCAGCTGCAGAGATTAAATAGGCTGCTATAAGGGCTTCAGAACATTGAGGCCAGGCTCAAAATGAGTGTGTGGATGAGTTGGGGTGAGGAGTAGATAACCCTGAGTTTGAGAGGTGGATTGTTACGAAGGGCAGGAAATAAGCAAGAACATGACAGATGAGGATCAGAGAAAAATTATGAACCCGCGTGATCAACACAAAGCCAGTAAGATTCTTGTGAGTTATGACAAAAAGGTGAATTCTCTCCACCCTAACATGCTTGGTAATGTTGACCATACATAGTCATGTCCCCTTTTAGTATATCTTTATGAGGTGGCTCTGCCTCTCCTCCCTCCCTCCTTTCTGTGGTGTCTGACACCCCTTCCTTCCACAGAACTTCAGGGAACACCCACCTGCCACTGCAGACCCTTCACCTGCTATTCTGGTGAGAGTCCCTCTGGGCATTGTGAAGGCAAGGGCTTCCAACGTAGGCGCTGCTGTCGTCGCTGACGTTGTGGATTGAGATCCACAGCTGTGAAGGATCCCATTTGATAACTTGGAAAAGGGTTTCTTTTTTATAACTTGTACCTTTTCTTATTTCTCTTTCCAAAATAAACTCTCAGCATTAAACTCGGTAGTTTTGGCATTTTTCTTCTATCTCATTTTTTTTGTTTTTGCCTTTCCACTTAACTTTTTTATGTGGTCACTTACATTGAGAATTCTGTCTTTGATGGTCTACCTTAAGTTAACTGGACTTTGTATCCCAGTGCTGCACAATTTCAGTCTCATACAGCAATAACAAAAACAGCAACATAAACATAATTAATTACAACAGTTTTAATTTCTAACATTCAATCCATCCATAATGATGTTCTAAAGAAGGAAGTGACTATGAAGTGTACCAAATGGTGTTGTTGACTCAAGGAAAGGTGAATCCAATGGGTTATGTTTATTTGTTCTTTAAATTTAAAAAGTGGGAAGGCATTGATATATATGGATACTTTTCTTACTTTAAGCAGATGTGTTAAGAACAGATATCTATTATTTTTCTGACTGTATCAACAAGATAGAGTGAACCAATGCTTCAGTGAGTCACAAACAAGGTAAAACGTGTGAACTTAGCAAAGACAGAATATAGTGATCAGCATTAGTGTCCTCATTTAACCCCCAGAGAGGAGGGGAGTCCACAAGCTGTTCATTAGTGGTGGTCATGCCCAGTGACCAGTGAAAAACTGGTCCCCGTTTAGACCCCAAAAGGTAAATTAGTCCAATGTCCAATGAAAGCATTGGTCTCAACTCTCCATCTCTTCAAAGACATTGTGTCTACTCCTTGTAACAAATCCATGCTAATTTTAATAAAATCCCGGCAGAAAATACTATGTGTCGAATAATGCTAATGAGCAAAGTCAATACATAATAATGATGAGACAATTGCTCATACACTTAGCTTTGTACAAAAACTTAAAGAACACTATTTGTCAGAAAGAAAAGTCTCTAAACTCACAATTTCTATTAAAGGCAGGGATTTAAGAGTACTGTGACATAGTAAAAGAAACCATTTTTGTTACAAAAAAATGTCTGTGCCTGATAATAACCAGATGCTTCATCTTGGACACACACCAAGCGCCTTTTCCTTGTGGAAAGTCAGACTAGTCACCCAGACCTGCACTGCTGGAGAAAATCAGGTGACCACACAAATCAATGGTATCTGTCTAAAGTACATGTAACAGTCCGATTTGCCAGAGAAACAGAACAAATAAGATGTGCATATACAGGTAGATTTATTTTAAGGAATTATCATTATGGAGGCTGGCACGTCCAAAACATGCAGAGTGGGCCATCAGGCTGGAGACCAATGGAAGAGTCAGTGCTGCAGTTGAAGCCTTAAGGCAGTGTGCAGCAGAATTCCTCCTAGCCCAGGAGAGGGCAGCGTTTGTCCTATTCAAGTCGTCAACTGATTGGGTGAGGACCACCCACTTCTTGGAGGGCAATCTGCTTTACTCAATGTCTACTGATTTAAATATTAATCACATGGACAAAATTCCTGACAGAAACGCCAAGAGTAATGGTTGGTCTGGTATCTGGACACTGGCCTAGCCAAGCTAGCACGTAATGGTAACCATCCCACTGGACCTTCAGTTTTCCTGGACAATCTTCTAAGTCTCCCAAACCCGACCTTGTTGCCATTCTTCAGAAGGGCTATATAGTATATTTTCTTTCCATCATATTTTCTATAACATTTTCTTTTCACATTTCATGAGCCTGAAACTTTAAATGCATCTTTTATCTACATGTAAATAGCATGTAATAGTGGGTTTGCATATGCTCTTGTTGATAAGCATCTGTAACTATGCAATTGATACCATCTTAGAACCAAGAAAATACAATTATGCTGGTTAATATCCATTACTCCCTTCACTGAGTCAGGCCTCACACTGACTGCCTCACCTGTCACACCATCAGGTTGGAGAGAGGTGATCATCAGATCTGAGACAGGAGGAAGGGAGACCCAGTACATGGTGACAAGTCTTTAGTCTTGGGTCTATTGACTCCAAATCCCATGGTCTCAAGATCTGGAAACCACCACCTCCAAACTGTTCAATATCTCCTACAGAGAAAGCTGACAAGTTGTAGCCCCAGAGGGACCAGGAACAGAAGACAAAGTTGCTGCCATTTCTTCCATGGAAAGAAAAACTCAGCACAAGAGGCTTCAAGTGAGAGATAACAGCATCACTTTTTAAGGAGGAACCAAGAGACTCTTTTCCAGTCTCAAATTGCACAACCAACCATGTTCCTGGGAGTATCTCATTTTATTTCCCAGGGCCTCAGTTTCTTCATCCAAACACTGAAAGTTTTGGCCTCAATGATCTCTATAGGAACTTCTTTTCCCACAGAATTTAGGTGACAACACATGCAGAGTAGTCTCTGAGGCTGGAGAGCAGCCATGGACAATGAGAAATGGACAAGGCAGGCTGCATTCCAACAGAACTTTACAGGAACAACTGGAGGGTCTCATTGGCTCACTGGCCATGGCTTAGTCACCCCTAGACTAGACCTTAGTCTATTTCAGGAAATACCAGGATACAGAGGGAAGGGCAAGAGGGGCAAGTCTGTGAATGTGTAAGGGTGTAGGGGTGGGGAGGACAAATGTGGTGAAAGCAGGAAGCTCGGATAGATAGGACTGTGAAGACTCATGTCCTCACTCGCAGGCATGGACCAGTTAGAACTCATGCGAGATCTGATGCAGTGAGCTTTGCTGTAGCTCTGATTGAACCTGCTGACACCCAAGATCTAACTAAAAACTTAACTTCTTCAAGATTCTCCCTCCATCCACCACCACCGGGCATGGGGCTGATGCTCCCTCTTCCTCCAGGCCAGGCAAGCATGTGTTGCTATTGCTGAAGAGGACCCTGCCCATCTCAGGAGCACCTCTCCAGGGCCTCCACTCTCAGTGGTTTCATCACAGGTGCTGTTGTTGCTCAGGTTCTTCAGCTGAGACAGAAAATGTTCAAGATCCAGATGAAAGGCCTGGAGGGACCAGTTGGTACCTCCTGTGTCTGTCCCTGAGCTCCTTTCCTCACCCCAAGTAAAGTCTTCACAACAAGCTTGCCTTTCTGCTTTTTGATGGTTGATGTGTGTATCAGTTGGGACTAATGTAAAATCCAGCCACAGATTTCTGACTAAAACTGTCTTAAACCAAATGCTGGGTGTAAATACTTGGGGAATTCAAAGAAGGATGTTGGTCTCAGACTCAAAACAGTATAAATGAACAAACAATACTGAAGGTCAGTGTGTTGATCTATCTCTCTATCTATGCATTCATTATCAGTTATCTTTCCATCTCTTCTCCCAGAGATGTGCACTGCCTGCCTCCTCCCCACTCATGCCCCTTACCTTGTTTTACTGCTCTCCATTGCTCTCAAAATCTTATGACCTTTTGGTATGAGATTTCTAAGGCTGCCGTAATAAAATCCCACAGACTGGGCGGCCTAAAGAACAGAAATTTATTCTCACAGTTCTGCAGGTTCAAACTTCACAATTCAGTGTTGCAGGGTTTGTTTCTCCTGAGGCCTCTCTCCTTGACTTGCAGACGGGCCTTACGGAAAGTCATGTCATGGTTGCCACCAAACCAGTCCTCAAGGTCACTCGCAGATCTTTTCTATTGTGTCTTGAAATCTGAGCCTTTCTTTACACCTGCCTGTCCAAAATGTGGGCCTGCCCTGGACAGCCACTAAGTGACCAGGTTCCTGCTGCTTGCTGCTAGGGAACACAGATACTGACTGTATTTCCTGATGTCAGGATTTCCTGAATTCTCCAAGTCTGAGAATTGGCAGCATATTTATTTAGATGTTCTCTCTACAAACACTAGTGTCATATGTGAGTATCATCAACTTCTTCCTGCAATGTCGTGAAGCTCAGAGCACGCCCCAGGGAGAAGGTGCAGTAGGTGTGTAAGAAATGGCACCATAAACATTATTATCCCCCCAACTGGAGTACGCTGATTTCCCTCCAGACACATCCTAAGCCATGTAATGATTCATTTTCCCCTTCAAGGGTGGCACTGATTCTCACTTCTGTGAGATGTTATCCATGTGCACATGCCCAGAGCGGGTGGAGAAGCACATAGTGTGATTTGCATTCCTGAGCCGCCTCCACATGCCTCTGGGCATCGTCTCTGCCTTCTCTGGGCTGGGAGCCTCTGCAGTGCACCTTGAAACTGTGGAGGGGAGCTTTTGGCTTCTTTTATCTGCCCTTCCTGTAAAGCATGGGCTGCATGGGGAGAAGAGGAAGATCTATTTCCTTTTATGATACCAACGAGGGCATTCCTAGCTCCCTTCAGGGCCTCCCAAATTGGAATGAATGCAATGAGAGCTTCTTGGAGAAGGCCAAACTTGCCCATAACATAGATTTATGCTAAAACAAACAAACATGTCAGATGTTCTACTGAGGCTATATGGGTGAGATGAATGAGGAGCAGGAGAAAGGAGACATGCTCTTGGTGTCATGTGTCACAGAAGAGGGACATTGTACTTTCTGGAGCTGGAGGGCCCTGCATGGAAAATGAGTCTTCCCACCACACTGACACTTCGCTTGCTGGAACCAGACAGCATGCTTAAATAGATAGAGAGAGACAAAAGCAATCTGAACAAAACAGTTGGCTCAAATGACAATTAGGTCAGAAAATATGCCCTCAGGCCCTAGTTTATCCAGCCTTGATAAAGTTTGGTGCACCATTGACTAGTTTTATTGCTTAACTGAATTTTTAACTATTTTTGTCTGTTTATTAGAATTTTGAGGTGTTTTGCTGTTTTATTTCCCCTTTGCTCTTTGGTGTCTCATTTGTTATCAGTCAGTCTTTCCTGTCCTAGCTGTAGTAACTGCAAATTTTTAAAAAGATGCAAACCCAATATCCAATAAGAGAAAATGCAGTGGAGAAATCTCCATTGGTGACAACATAATGTTCATAGCACGATGTCACGTTGATTTAAATGTAATAAATAAATGCAGAACAGGGGCCAACGACTATAGGCAAAACTGTAGTTTTCTCAGAAGAACTGGGTTACAGATGATTCTGAGAATTCTCTCTTAATCTATATATTTGGATTTCATTTCTATGTTAAAAATAAATT